GGTGGGTACAGTGGAGGTGGTGGTGAGGGTAGTTGTGTCAGTGAAGGTTGTGGTGGGTATAGTGGAGGTGATAGTGAGGGTAGTCATGACAGTGGACATGGTGATGGGTACAGTAGAAGTTGTTGTGAGGGAAGTTATATCAGTGGACGTGGTGTTGGGTACGGTCGAGGTGGTGGGGATGGTAGTCGTGTCAGTGGTGGTAGGAAAACTGGAGATGCTCGAGAGGGGAGTTGTGACAGTGGAGGTGGTGGTGAGGGTCCTTTTGTCAGTGGAGGTGGTGGGTACAGTGGAATTTGTGGTGAAGGTAGTCACTTCAGAGGATGTTGTTGGTACAGGGGAAGTGGTGGTGAGGGTAGTCGTGTCAGTGGAACTGGTTGTGAGTACAGTGGAGATGGTGGTGAGGGTACTTTCTTCAGTCGTGGTGGTGGGCGGGGAAGTGGAACTGGTGGTGAGGGGACTCGTGTCAGTGGAGGTGTTTGGTATAGTGGAGGTGATAGTGAGGGTAGTAGTGTCAGTAGAGGTGGTGGTGGGTCCGATGGAGGTAATGGTGAGGGTAGTTGTGTCCTTGGATGTTGTTGTGGGTAAAGTAGAGGTGGTGGATACATTGGAGGTGGTGGTGAGGGTAGTTGCCTCAGTGGAGCTGGTGGTGGGTAGGGTGGAGGTGGTGCTGAGGGTAGTCGTCTTAGTTGTGGTGGTGGTGGCTACACTGGATGTAGTGGTGAGGGAACTAGTGTCAATGGAGGTGGCAGTGGGTACAGTGGATGTGCTGGTGAGCGGAGTTGTATCAGTGGAGCTGGTGGTAAGTTGGGTGGAAGTGATAGTGAGGGTAGTAGTGTCCATGGAGGTCGTTTCGGGTAAAGTAGACGTGGTGGGTACAGTGGAAGTTGTAGTGAGGGTAGCCCTATTAGTAGAGGAGGTGGTATGCATAGTTGAAGTGTTGCTGAGGGTAGTTGTCTCTCTGGAGCTGGTGATGGGTACAGTGGATGTGCTGATCAGGGGCGTCATGGGAGTGGAGGCAGTGATGAGTTGGGTGGAAGTGATAGTGAGGGGAGTCTTGTAAGTGGAGGTGGTGGTGAGTACATTGGAGGTGGTGGTGAGGGAAGTCGTGTCATTGGAGGTGGTCGTGGGTACAGTGGAGGTGGTGGTGAGGGTACTTTTTTCAGTGGTGGTAGTGGGTATAATGGAGGTGATAGTGAGGGAGGTAGTGTCAATAGAGGTGGTGGTGGGTCGGGTGGAGGTAGTGGTGAGGGTAGTCGTGTCCTTGGATGTCGTTGCGGGTAAAGTAGAGGTGGTGGGTACAGTGGATGTGGTGGTGTCTCACTGGAGCTGGTGGTGGGTAAAGTGGAGGTGGTGGTGGGTCGGGTGGAGGTGGTG